ACTCTTCTAACTTCTGAGGCTACTGTCCATGACAAAATGGCAGTAGATTCTGTATGATTTGCCATAACACTAGAAAATCTGTGAAAAACGGTAGTTTATGGTAGTGGTACCACATGGAGGAACTTTGGCCTTATGCTAATTCCTGTCCACATTTAATAACTGTGGTTGCACTGATTTTTTTTTTGTTTTTAATTTGATATCTTAGTCAGGTCTTACCTAGTTTTCACTTGGCCTTGTGCATTACTCCGTATTAGATATTGAGCCTTTTTTAGGCATTGGCTTCTTAGTTAGTTCAAACTAATTGGCTAGGATATTTTTTATTTTGTAGTTTTCTTGGTTCTTGCTTAAATAGACCTTTAGTTTATTTTTCGTGATATCTGAAAGTTTAGGAAAGCTTTCTACGTTTACTCAGAAACATAGCTCCTTCCATAATTTTCTGTCTTGTTTCAAAGATGAGAAATGAACTCTCATGACATATTTGGAGTAACTTATTGTTTTTTTTGCCATTCACTCTTAAACAGGTAACAAGATTTTAGGCCATATTTCGCTGGGCACGTGGATTGAAGTTCCCCTGCTGCTCTACATTTTGTATCAGACTGTAGCTCCACTAGGCCACACTTTTGCAGAGAACTCAATTTTTGTTGGATGTAATGATAACATAAAAATTATGTTTTATCATTTAATCTTAGGCATCACATAATTTGTTATATAATATTATACTCGAGTTTATCAAACCATCTTACAATGGTGAAAGGGTGATCTAACCATCTTTTCATTTCAGTCATTGGGAGTTGGGAGTTCATTGCACACTTTTCAGTTCTAGCAGTTTATTGTTACCTTCAAGGTTTTCATTTTACCAATTCCATATGCACATAGCTGCCAGCGAAGTGTTGAACATTTAAGCTGAGCTATTACCTGGTTTGCTTCCAGGACTATATGCTTTTTACACGAGTTGATCATTGACTTCCTTTTGGTCTCAATGTGGTCCTTGCCAGTGCAATTTAGACTTTGATTCTATGCTCTATTTTGCTCTAATCAGGAACGGCTATTTGTGTGTGTCTGAGGACTAAATAATTATTGTGTCAAAGATGGTTCTAAATTCAGTTGACATACAAAAATATTCATATCCAGAACCAAATATGTATATTGAGTGAGGACCTAAGAAGCACAGGATCTTCTGGCCGGAGTGGCAGCTCATATTTCGCCGTGTTTGTATAATTGTTTAGCATTTCAGAAAATTTTGGTTTTTAATCTCTTTTTTTGTGAGATATCTCCAAGAAAATTAGTGTCTATTTATATATTTTTCTTTCTAACATTCTGCTTCGTTTATTTATTTCAAATACTATTACGTGTTTTCTGATTCACGTTTCCATTTGTATGATTGCGTAGAATTTCATTGTCATTGACTAAATTGAGCAATAGTATACAGTTGAGATACCAAATTGGGTATTAAATGGGCAAAATCATCATACATACGATAGTATTAGAATACTTTGTATAGCAATTGCATATGTATGTGTATCTATATCAGAATAATGACATTCAGTTCAGTAAGACAGTCGCTTGGTTTTGCTGTTGAGTTCTCTCTAACTTGGTGGTGGCCTGGGCACAACAATGAACTTTCTTCTTCTTGTTCTTCCCATGATGCCATGAGGAACTGGAGCTGGATAGCTGCCACCGAAGTACGGTGCTGGGTCCCACGCCCCGTAGTAGTCTTCTTCCATTTGCCTCAACGGTAATTCTTTAACATTCTCCTGTCTATGCTCATTGTTTTGCGGAGAAGGCGAGAATGATGGTATATCTTTGTTGGCTGATGCTACAACTGCAATGGCCGAGACTGTCACTATTGCCGCTATAACTAGAGGAATCTTCATGCACAATGCTTTTCTTACCTGCCAAGCCTTGAAGTCTGTCATAATTGAAATGAAATAATGCTTAATCATGTTGAGTTAGGGTTTAATAATAATAATCTTTGGTGATTTATAGGTAATGTGGGGAGTTGAGACAAAAAGGGATTGTGTTTTACGCAAGGTAGAGCGTTAAAACACTTATGTTGGGGGTGGGGTGGGGTGTTCATGCTCGGTGGATGACACAACAACGAATCTTGCATGCATATAAGCATATTTATTGGAAACAGCTCATTTCCTTGCAAACCAAAATTCTATCAAACTGTTGTGTTTGGAACAATTTTATGTAAAAAAAAATTACGTGTTTTGCAGTTTGTGAAATTTATACTCCCTCCGTCCCTAAATAAAAGCATCTGTTTCCTTTTCGGGCCGTCCCTAAATAAAAGTTCTCTTTCCTTTTTTGGCAAACAAAACAGTGCAAAACAGTGCAAAACAGTGCCAAACAGTGTCCAAACAGTGCCAAACAGTACCAACCAAACCCACTTTTTTAAGATGTGTGTAAAATGAATGGATACTTTTATATAGGGACGGAGGGAGTATAAAGTTTCTACCAATTTTATTTACACATGTATTAACATTATGAAAAATTGAAAGTTATTAACCATTTGCACATATTTAAAGTTCTTTGTTTAGACAGATGAGATTTGTGTGAGCATGTATATATATAATTGAAAAAATATGAGATGTTTTTTCACAACAAATATGAGATGTTCGAAAGTGATAAAAAGACAATTTGCTTCCAAATTTAATATGATTAGTGCAAGTATGTATTCTAATGTATAATATTAATATTACTATACGGAGAAAGAACATCATATTCCTTAATTATATTACTCAACTTATTTTTTGTATAACTAGACAAAAATATAATAAAATGGGAACAAATAGTTGATTAGTATATACTCCGTATCATATATGCTCCTTTAATATAACTGAAAAGTATATCTGTTCCACTTAACAATTTTTGTTTTCAGTTATTTCAAAAAGTTCCTATTAACAATTTAAGAATTCTCTCATTTTACCTTTTCTACTTATCATTCATTGGTCAAATGCAGGGGAGGCCACCCTTTGAGGTGTGGTGTCAATAGACACCACTGAATTTTTTCTCCCATATATAGGTATATAATTTTTTTAAAAAAACATTAAATTGACCCCACTGAAAAATAAAATTTTTATGTATAGCATAGATAATCTTATGGCTCCGCCCTTGAATTCAAATGGCTTCTTTTTAACTTACTTTCTTTAATCGTTTTTATATTTAATGTAGTGTGTGTGTATATATAAGCTAACACAAAATTATACATGTGATATGAAGAGTATGGGAGTTCTATGGGGCAGAGAAAATAAACCCTAGCACCACCACCTTTCTTTGATCTTATTTTCATTTTCATTTTTCCATTGCTTGAAAAATGTCTAAGAATTGGTATGAGGCTCATATGAGCCATGACTTATTCCTTGGTGTGTCTAGTATTGTGATTCTCCTATCAATTTTAACAATCATTTTATGAGTGGTTTCTACTCAAGTTGCAGACTAGAGTTGTTGCATGATGTTATATTATTGTTTAATTCCTATTGAAGGAACTCATCGAGTCTTAAATCTGCTTTTCTTAGAAGGCATCTGTTTATAACCCTTTTATGCCACTAGCAATGGGTTTGCCTCTTGAACCCGTCATTGATGGGAAACGTGATTTCTATATAAAAGTCATTAGTGTTCGGGCTAGGGCGCTGCATGATTGGACATTGATGACTCGTTTCAACCGTATTTACAATTTCACTTATTTGTATGCTTTATATTCCTCCACTTACATTTTGTAAGATACCCTTTCCTACCCGACCGAGTCAGTGTGACTTACAACCTCCCAAATGTCTTGTCGGGTCGGGACGTGGGGGGCCCTTGGAGTTGGGGATTCAACCATTTGGAACATTGTAAGACAACCTTTCCTTTTTGGATTGTCCCAAAAAAATAACAATTTTCTAAATTGAACTACACTAGTTTTTAGCTTCTCACTTTTTCCCTTTATCTATCATTTTAGGACAAATAAGCTTGATGAACGGGCAACAACACCAAACATGTGTTAAACTTAATGAAAGATCTAATTTTCCTTACCAAAAGATATTTAATAAGTGAATATAAAAAATAATTTATAAAACCAATAATGGGGAAATAAATTTTCTCAAGTACTATCGGAAAGGTAATTACTTCTACATATGGATACTATGTAATTAACAACACAATAAATTAAAAAGTAATGGAGTAGTTACTATTTCACTAATAATTTATTGTTATTACAGGGTATTATGGCCTCCACCAAAAGAACATGTTACTATAACTGTCAAAAAAATTGTTTCAAGTAACTTTTTCAATAATTTTTATAAAAAGCTTGTTCCATACACATTCACATTCATGCAAAACAAGGGTCCATGAAATGCCAAATGTGAAGATTTGATTAGCTTCCAAAACAAGGGACCATGAAACCCCGCCGTTTACTTTTGTTTTATTGAATTTCAAAAAACTTCATTTGTTTCTAAAATCTCATGTCGGAGTTTTAGCTTAACCCAAAGTTTCTTTCTCCCATAACTTTTACCCTTCAACCTTGTTTAACATTAATTCAATTTTAAATTTTAATGTCACAGTTATTTCTGATACGATTTTTTATTTACTTAATACTCTGTAACAAAACTATTTAATTCGTAATAGGGTCCTACAATAAAAACGAAAATATCAAACATCCGAGTTTTTTTTTTGTATTTTTTGGGGGATGATTTTCAACGTTTCTTTATTTCATTTAATATAATTAAAGCCAGATAACATTTCTGCAAACAAATGTCTTTGTTTTTTCATAGCCTTGTTCAACAGGGAAATGATACACTTGCATTTCATCTGTTTCTAAATAAAATAGAAACAACAGCGGTTTTGGCGCATTTAGAAATTCCAAGTTTGTTCCTCCCTGTTTGAACAAGAGAGGGGACCTCCTCTGGAAAAATCTGATCATAGCCTTTCACACATAAAAAAGAAAAGAATTTAACCTACAACAGCATTGGAAATAGGACCCTGGAAATGGGTTCAATCTATAGGGAAGAACACAAATCCCAACCCAATGATGAAATGGGTTCAAATACACATGAGGAGAAGATCTTTGTTGCTGTAAGGTTGAGGCCTCTCAACCAGAGAGAGATTTCCAGAAACGACATCTCAGATTGGGAATGCATCAACAATAACACTGTCATGTACAAAACCAACAACAATAGTAATCCCGGAGAACGTTCCTTGCTTCCTACAGCATACCAATTTGGTATGGTTGGTTGACAAAGAGTTTTTCTTGAATTCTTGAATTGGCTTCAATTGAGAAGCCTAAACCATGTTATTGATTTATAGAGCATTTCTCCTTGTTTCCATTTATCAAGAAACTGTCTTAGGATAAAAAATGTATATAGGCAGGGAAGGATTCAAAGAATGGTAAAACTAACTCAAATTAACCCCAAGTGAATAATTAAGGGTGATATAGTTCTACAGTAAATTGAGATAATTTTTCCAAAATCATCATCATATAGTCAGTGCTCAAATTCATGTCTTGGCATTAGACTCCCGTTGTATTTATTGTGCCTAGCATTTTTCAGAACATTGGTCCTATGTTTTTGCATCCTTAGGCTCCATTTGATGACAACAATATAAACTGATGTGGAAAATGTTTTTCAAGAAGATAAGTTGTCTATGTATAATGTAATGTTTGACCCACAAAAACAGAAAACCTATTTCAGGAATCAGGATAGTGACTCCTCACTTTCACAAATTTCAGAAAAGAATTCGTTCTGTGCAAAACACAGAAAAAACACTACTTTGCTGTGCCAAACACATGAAAATCTAGAAAGCATTTTCCACGAATGTATATTCCCAGAAACAAATGGAGCCTTAATGTCATCATGTCCTCCATATTGGTTGACAGTTCATGGTATAGACAGGGTATTTGGGTGGGATTGCTCTACAAAGCAAGTTTATGAAGAAGCTGCAAAAAGGGTGGCTCTTACCGTCCTAACTGGCATTAACTGTATGTATATATCCCTTCCCTTGCTTTATTGGTTTTGATGTCAATTAGGGAACAGAAACCTAATTTCTTGCAAAAATGACAATCCAGCTAGTGTCTTTGCCTATGGTCAAACAAGCAGTGGAAAGACATATACCATGTCCGGGATTACTGAGCTCGCCATGGCTGATATCTTTAACTATGCAAAGAAGGTGCTCAGAATTTTAATACTCACCCTAAATAAAAGTTTTTCATATGCTATTAATATGAATCCTGGAAAAAAGGTGCTAACCAAAATTATATTCTTGTGATTAGTTTTTTCTTGGAAAATGCGAAGGAAAATGAAATACTATTAATGTTTCATTTTCAAAATATGCATATATTTAGTTTTCTTAGTCTTTGTGCAATAGACATAATAGATAAATGAGCACTAACAAAATATCCAAAATCTTATTCAGTATCTTTTATTATCCCTTCTGTTGTATTTTCATCCAATTTTCCTCTATCTTTTCCTCCCTGTTTTCTTTGACTGATATTTTCAAGATCCAAACAGACCGTAAGGACTAAGGCTGTGTTGTTTGTAGAATATGGTAAAAGGAAAGAATGCCAAGGAAAACAGTTCTTTTTGTTTGATTGGACCTTGGAAAATGCAAAAGGAAAATAGATTTAATCAAAACTTTCTAAAATGGCATTTTATCATAATATAACTATATAAATAATATGGACATGAAGAACTATGTAAAGTTGATGTTTTGAGTTCATACACCTTTTTTGTATATTTCCTTCCGGATTTCTTTTCTATTCTCTTCCCTATTTTCTATCTCTATTACTTTTTTTTGTTCCAAATAGATCATAAGAAATAACGAATTACTCATCACTTCATTGTATTGAATATCTAGCATGAAGAAAGGAGATATACGCTCAAGTTATCAGCTATGGAGATCTACAATGAGTCTGTCAAGGACCTCCTAAGCTCGGATAGTACACCACTTAGGCTTCTTGATGATCCAGAGGTTAATATTTTGAGATATGGGGGTTTTTAGACTGATTTTGAATGAAAGTTACCTATGACATTTTCCATCCTGCACAGAAAGGAACAGTTGTTGAGAGACTTACAGAGGTGACTGTGAAAGATTGGAGACATGTGAAGGAACTTTTGTCCATCTGTGAAGGTAAGAGAGACCCCCATTTTTAACTTCCCTTTTAACATCACGCTTCTGGGTTAGGCTTAGGTCCACTAGACTGAGGATGAGGGGTCTCCTATTTAAGCTCTTGTTGGTCCTATTGAGCTTCAAAACTTCTAATGAATCCTTATTGACCACAACAAGAGACTTAATAGGGACAATCAATGTGTTTTGCCAAAAACTTATGCTAGAAAAAAAGATATCAATTCTTTCTCTTAACTGTGCTTGCAATTCTTATTCTTATTCAGTCAAGGGGTTTCTCTTGAGCCTGTCTAATTAAAATAAAACACCATTTACTAGTTCTGCATTTTTGCAGCACAAAGACGGACAGGAGAAACTTGTATGAATGAAATGAGCTCTAGGTCACACCAGATCATGCGCCTGGTATGCAGTATTTCACTTTGATATAGTGGTAGAGTAATAAACACATACTTCCTCAATCTAAAAAAAGGAGAAAAAATATCCATGTTGTAACTGTTATTTTAGAAGGGGAATCTTGGCGCACTGGTTACGGTGTTCTGGTGCGACTGAGAGGTCACGGACTCACGGGCTCACATCTTGGAAGCGGTCTCTTGCCAAAATGACACGAGACGGCTTGCTCGTTAAACACCTTGTGGTGAGACCCTTCTTTGGACTCTCACCTTGCAGGGACGCCAATGTGCACCAGGCTGCCTTTTTGTTGTTGTAACTCATTTTAAAATTACAAACCACAAGCATTTTTTGGGGTGCGGAAGTAATACTAGTTAACATTTATTGCATTTAATTTCTTAATTTTAGTGATTTTTCAGACAGTTGAAAGTTGTGCTACCCAAATCTCTCTCGCTCGGAACAATAGCGTTTTATTAGCTTCAGCGGTATGAAAGGAAATCCTTTATTCCTTACCTTCGTATAAATCTGACTTACATCAAATGGCCAGTGTCCAAATGAGCTGAATTTGCTAAAACTGTGGATGGTTGATATGGCTAAATGAGCTTCATTATTTTAAAATATATTTCCTTTTTTCAATGTAATGAGTAAAATAGTGTCTCTAAAAATGAGTGTGGAAGTGTGAATTCCTATATTCCTAAAAAGGAACAGGAAAGAAGTGAAATTTGTTTACAAATGTGCTGCAATGCAGGATTTTGTTGATCTTGCAGGGAGTGAACGTTCTTCTCAAACATCATCAGCCATTCCAAGACTTAAAGAGGGTTGCCACATCAACCGAAGTTTGCTTGCCCTAGGAACATGTATTCGTAAACTAAGGTTAGCTAGTAATATCAGTCCATTATTTCAAGTAACTCATACCTACCCTTCTAGATCTCTGCTTCCTATTGCTGATTTAACATATTTTGTTGGCTTTGATCAGTAAAGGAAGAAATGGACACATCCCATACAGAGACTCCAAGCTAACCCGTATATTGCAGAACTCACTGGGAGGAAATGCTAGAACATCAATCATTTGCACGATGAGCCCTGCACGAAGTCAGGCTGAGCAATCAAGAAACACACTTATGTTCGCAACATGTGCCAAACAGGTCTCTACCAAAGCCCATGTTAATGTGGTGATGACAGAGAAGGCATTGGTGAGGCAATTGCAGAGTGAAGTGGAAAGACTGGAAACTCAATTGAGGAACTTGGCTGCATTCACAACTCCAGCAATGAAGGCAAAGGAAGCTCTTATTGAAAAGGTGGGGTGGGGTGGGGATCGAGATGCAGCTTTTAGTGATATCCTGCTGTTTTTGTTATCTATGACATGTTTCAATAATGCATTCAGATGGATAACGAAATCAGAGAATTGGTGCGGCAGCGGGATATAGCTCAGTCTTGGATTCGTGATTTGCTACATTCAAGATCATGGGTATGAATGAAGATATATCTTTGTGTATCTGTATCTCAACAAACAGAATAGGGATTTCATCAAAGTTCAAACTGATATAAGGAGTAGCTCGTACACATTAGGCCATTATTGTGTTGGTTTGTATTTCTCTATTTCTCTACGGTGTCTTGATTCATCTTAGTTTCCCTATAGGCCGATACAAATGACCAATCAGAAACTCCTGAATATCATTCAGCATCTGAAGCTTCAGAGACGATCGATCCTTTTTTGTCAGATATTGCATCAGGTGTATCACATTTTTCAGAGTCATTTGATAGTTTTCAAGAGGTACCTGATGACCAATTTCTGTCGGATGACACCTCCCCTAGTATCTATTTTGAAAAGTATTTCGGTCCGGAGCCATGTAAGGGTTGGGAGAATGGTGCTCATGAATATCATCAGAGTTTGGAAGAAAGCTGGAAGGAAGTCATATGCATAGAAACAGATTGCAGTGGAAGACCCTTTGATTCAACAAATGAAACAGGAAAGGTAAATATGGAGGCAACGAATGAATCTAAAAAGGACTTTAACGGAAGACAGAAAGAATGTGATGAGAAGACTCAAATAATGGGCATCACAAGATCCAGTGAAGCAGGTTTTGCCATTAAACAAAACAAGGATGTTGAAACCATTTCAGGAAAAAAACATTGTGATGATACAAAAGATTCCAAAGCTAAGTCGGAAAAGCAACTTTTCCAGTTGGTGAGATTCTGGCTTCTGCATCTCATTCATTAATTAATCATCATTCATGTTTGTGTATCTTAATCCTGTAAGGGCTGATCAGGAAAATCTAATATCATATTACTTTGTAGCTATATGAAGCAGAAGAAATACACAGGGAATTTGTAAAATATGCATGTGAGGGTCTATCTATAGCAACCGGTTCACAACAAACAAGTTACAGCGGGTCACTGGAATTTGATAGGAAGATGAGAGAAATTATTGAGCTTTGGGATGAGTGCTATGTACCCCTTGTCCACAGGACCTATTTCTTCCTTCTTTTCAAAGGAGACCCCTCAGATATGGTATATATGGAGGTGGAGCTTCGGCGTCTACATTTTCTCAAAAATAGATGGTCTCAAGGAGTTGAAGTCATTAAAGACGGTCAAGTTTTGAAAAGATCTGCAAGGTAATTTATCTCTTCTATTTTCTCCATCTATTCCTCATCATCATCATAAACAATACAGAGTAACAACCAAGCATCCAAGGCTCCAAGCCTCACTCCTGAATCCAGGGGGTCAGCTACACCATTAAGAATCACACACATTAATACATTTAAGAACTATGGTTGAGTTTTTATGACCTTGGATTCAAGTGGCTAATCGACTGAATTTTATTGGTCAGGAACATATGCATTATAAACCAGTTGAATGACTAAAACCGACTATGAATTACACAAAATCATGTAAAGCATTCTTGTTTCATTCATTCCTCTTGTGTACATACAAATTCCCATAGGAGCTGGGAATGATAAAGGTTTATTTTTTCTATACTTGTGATCAAGAACAGCATTAAAGCATTGAAGCAGGAGAGGAAGATGTTGAGCAGGCAAATGCGGAAGAAATACGGAAGAAAGGAGAGGGAGGCGTTATTTGATAAATGGGGTGTAAATGCCAAAACACGTCATAGAAGACGGCAACTGCGTGAACTTCTATGGAAGGACACAAAAAATATGGAGCATGTCCAGGAAAGTGCAAGCCTTGTTGCAAAATTGGTTGGACTCATTGAGCCAAGTGATGCCCCTAAGGAAATGTTTGGACTCAGCTTTGCCCTTCCACCTAAGAAACCTCGCAAGACCTTTTTGGGGTACGGGTAGAATGCTAACCCTAACTGAGCAACAATTTGCATAGTAGAAATTAAAGAAGAATGTAATGTATTAATTAGAAGCTTTATGTATTCAATAGTTTAGTGTCGTTCAATACTTGATTTGAAAACCGACAATCTGGAAATTCTAAGATTTAAAAACAAAGTGAAGATGTTAGAATCTAAAATCCTTACTTCAGAAGACCTAAAAAACCTCGCAAGACCTTTTTCGGGTATGGGTAGAATGCTAACCCTAACTGAGCAATAATTTGCATATTAGAAATTAAAGAAGAATGTAATGTATTAGTTACAAGCTTTATGTATCAAATAGTTTAGTGTCGTTCAATACTTGATTTAAAAACCGACAATCTGGGAACTCTAAGATTTAAAAACAAAGTGAAGATGTTAGAATGTAAAATCCTTACTTCAGAAGAGACCGAAGAGTGGATGATCCGATCGGCCTACACCGAATGCTCTCTCGGGGGCTTGGATTATGGCCTGGCATTAGTTGACAGAGGGCACAGAAGCTGATCGTCCCCAACTATGCGCCGAGCGTCCATCCAGCCCCCTTGCTAGATCGTGCAAACCCACACTGGTCCTTGGTGGTTTTCTTCCTAAGGGGTTATTGGGTCGGCCCCGGTATCGGGCCAATTAAACCAACACATATTCATATCTAACCATTTGGTTATTAACAGTACATACCTATCGCATAACTAAAAGTAACTATCATGGATCACTACCATACTATTTCAGTGACTGTGATTATGTACCCAATTCCACCTAAGTGACTACAAAAAATATGATAGTCACTGAACATGACCATCCATAATTACTACCACTTTCTCAAACACAAAATTTTAATCTGGACCTGACCGAAAATGGATTGTGGAAATGGCCTAGCATGTTTAATAACGCATAACTCCATCATTTTTGGGTTTCAGTTACACTCTAATCAATAGATTTAATGTCGCCGATTTTGTAGTGTGTAAACGGTTGGTTGACTCAATCTAGAATTGACTAATTCCAGACTAGTCAGTCATATTGTTGGGATTTTTATTATGATGTCACTTTTTGGTCTTTGCCGTTTTATTTAGTAATATTCTTGAAAATTGGGTTTTGATGATGCATGGATGACACATGAATGACGCCATTCAACATGCGCCATCCCTTTCCCTTCTTTTCTTAGCTTTTTTCCTTTTCTTTTCTCCATGTCATTGAGTCAACCCCCTCCAAATTTAAAATCTTTTCACCCCATTTACCACTTTTAACCCGGTTTTTTTTCTCTCACAACACTCAATTAGGAATTCAAAATCTCCAAACTTAACATTTTGAACTCATAATCTCTCCACACTATAAATGGTCTAAAAGATTTTTTCAAAACTGTTTGGCTAGAACTCTCTGCAAGCGGCTATTGATAGTGGCAAGTGGCAACCGTCGAAACTAGTAAGATTGGTATTGGATCGAAAGTTAGGATGTTTTAAATTGCCTCAAAAAAATTGTGATTTAATCTAACTTGATTTGTTTAACTTTAGTATTGTATTAATTGGTAAACGTCTAACTTATACTACGTATGTATTTTACTACGTAATACTCTATGTTACATTAGACTGTATCTACTTTTTTTGTCTCAAAAACTTTGACAAATGAATTGTTTGTCAAGAATTTATTTGAATGTCTTCCCAATTGAATTGTTAGCTGAAATTTGTTATGAGTAAATTAGACTTAATTAATATGATTCTCAAAAAAATCTTCAAAAAATTCTACCGAGAACTGCCCCAAATGGTGACAGTCGGACAGAATCTCCTATATAAAGGCTTATCTGACCTTTTTTGGTTAGTATGTGGACTTATTTGCCCCCTTTTCCCAAAAACTTTGACACTACCCTTTCCAAGATTGAAGTAATGAATTCAAGGTTGTTAAAATCATATTTTTGAATCGAATCGGTAGAAGTTTTTGAAAATCGAATCGTAAAATCAAATCGCAAATCGTAAGATTTTATCAAACATATCTTAACAATTACTCCCTCCGTGCCTTAAAACTTTGTGTCTCAAAAAACTTTGTCACTTTCCATTTTAATCAATTATTGTGTGGTTTCTATTATTTTCCTCTCATCTGCACAAACCTCAATCACACCGTTTTTACTTTATTATTCTCTGTGTCGGTCAACTTTGGCAAAGTTTCAAGGGACAGAGGTAGTATAAAATAAATAAATAAATAAATAAATAAATAAATAAATAAATAAATAAATATTAATATTAAGATGCAAGTTAATGGTATTATATCATTTCGTTACATAAAACTATACCTACCAAGGTCCAAAACATGACTTATAAACTATTTTAATTATGTATCAATTTGTAGTAGTTAATTTTAATAAATTTGAACCATTTTCACTAAAAAAAAACTTATCACGATTTTGCTACGATTTTCCTACGATTTTAAACGATTCTATATGATTTTTGAACGATTTTTACGATTTTGTATGATTTTATGATTTTACGATTTTACCTGCGATTTGAATCGATATACTAATGTAGAATCATAAAATCGTACGATTTTACGATTTAAATCTAGATTTTAACAACAATTTGTGATTAACTTTTTACTCTCTCATCTACGCAACCTCAACAACACAACTTTAATTTTCTTATTTCACACTCGATACAAAGTTAACCATGTCTAAGGAAATGGAGATAATATTATTTAAGTCTAGTTTGATCCAGGGATTGACTCAGGTCCGGGCCGGGTCCGGGTCGGGCCTAGGCCCGGGCGGGCCGGCGGTTCAGAAATGGTGGACCCGGGACCGGCCCGGGTAACCACCGGGTCCGGGCCGGGCCCATTATCATTTTTTTTGTTTTCCTCTTCCTAATCAACCCCCCTCCCACCTCAACCCCCCAAACCACCCCAAATGGCCTAAAATACCTAGCCCAACCCGAAAATTTAAAAAAATTGAAAAAAAAGGTTTTGGCCCGAACCGGGCCCGGGCGGGTCGGGCCTTGTTTTGGGTGACCCGAGCCCGGACCGGAAAACCCACGGGCCGGGCCTACCCGGACCGGTCACTGACCGGGCCACCGGGTCGGGCCGAGCCGGAACAGTACCGGTCCCGGGCCGGTTCCGGGTCGGGCCACCCGGCCCGAGTCCATCTCTAGTTTGATCCGATGGGTAGGTCGGATGTGATCTGATTTGAGATAAAATCAACCGAAGAATTGAAATAATTTAATACGTAGTACTATTTTGGCTTTTTGGGAAGTTTTAATGTGCCCCTATATAAGAGTGGAATCGTGGTTTGGTCAATTTCTCTATTTATTTATTATTCATAGAGGGATGATGAATGCTAGAATGAATCAACACAAATAAATAATCAGCACTGAAATTCAGTACAGGATATTAGTACATTTTATACTAGTCCGTATTAGCACCACAACCTTTTAAATTAAACCAACGTCAGACCCTCTGGAAGCGAACGACTGTCTTTCTCTTGTGAAAGAAATCTACGACAAGCATAATATACAGCTGAATGGAAACCAACTGCATTCTCTATAAAGACAAAATGGCCACTCTGCAATTCCCGAAAATAACAAACTTTTATCAATGTTGTATATCAAAACATTAGGCGAATGTGATCGTGGAATTGTCAAGTCATCCAACACAGGCAAGTTCAAACTCACATATAAGGCATTGACCATTCTAACCGGTCCACTTTTTAATTCGGAACTATAAGTCTTAGTAAGAAGGAAAGAAGGTGTGGGACTGACCTGAGGTACCCTTATGATTTCACATTGAACGTTCATGTTCTTGCGTGCTTCTACGGCTCCTTGATAATTCATCCAATCTTCAAAACCATATATGAATGTTGTGGGCACTTTCCACTCAGGTGCTCTGCATAAGACAGACACAAGATCCAATTTAATATTGCAAACATGCAAGTATGCAACTATATAAGGCCAGTAATATGATTTCATATCTAAAGCTCAAAACCACGAATGTTGTAGGCTTTATTTAAATTTCTCTAATTCCATTTTAAAAACTGTATATTAGGTCTTTTTGGTACTCGGGAATGTTTATTCCTTGTTAATTCCCGACGTAGAAGTTCCCTAAAATCCTATGTCCGGAAAAAAATCTATATGAAAGAAGTCAAAAAACTTTACTTCGTAGATGTGAAAAAGAAAAAGAATGTCCTTACCCACACATTTAGAATAACTTTCCCTTGCTATTTGACAGCAAAAATATGGTTCAATGGACTGAAATTCCCATGCTTTGTGAGGGTTTTGCTTTTATTCTAAAGGCATTTTTCTCTTTATTCCTTTCCTCCGTGATTGTAATCAACCAAACTACATAATTTAAATTGCATTCCTCTTTCATTTCCCAAACACAAAATTAAACTGCATTCCTCTATTCATCTAATAGAATTCAGTATTAGGTTTGTGTTATTAAACTATGCCATAAAATAATTAGGTCAAATTTTATTACAAGATAGAATCCAATTAATTAACTAGTTCAACTCAAGACCTTCTAGACTGCTATGTCTGACTCTAACATAAGTATGACTCTCGACAATGCTTCGTGTACCAAATGAGCAGTTAGTCTACAAGTCAAAGAATTATAGGATTACAAAAAGATGATGGAATCGCTCCATTCACGCAATGGGACAACCTCAACCTTACCTGTGTAAAAGAGGACTACGAGCAAATGCTCCAAAAGAGAATATATATTTCAAGCATAACTCCCCACTTGCTTTGGCTGCCAGAGTATGGTATACATAATCTTCCAACAACAGAAAAAGGTTCTGAATTCAGAAAATGTCATAAACTCAGGGTACCAAATGAAGTAGGTTCATCTGACGCTACCTGTGAGTAGCTTAGACTCTTCATTGGTCAGAGCATCTTCACTTGAATACGCAGCAAACCTAGCACCAGTATATCTGCGAACTAGATTCGGTCCCCATGGACCTAAACCCCTGCATCAATCAGTCCATTAATATAAATGTAATCATATATAGAAATCCCAAAAAATGGAAACATTGGTAAATCTGTGAAGACAAAAAGTGAAATAAAAGCATTAACAAGATACTAGTGAGTAGCAATAGTTCAAAACAAGACAAGGATACAGTTACGGAGAGGGTTAGGAAGGGTTCAAAGAATGGTGAAATTATCTCTGAACTACTGATAATTATCTCACCCTCACGTATTCACTTGGGGTAAAATTGAGATGGTTATTAAATCCACATACCTAATAAGCTTCTGAGGGGTAAAATTGGACTCCCACAAATGATTCAAAATAGCTCCTTTCCATGTTGCTCTGAACTGTGTTAGCCGCTCAGGCATGTCTGTTTCAGATGTAAACCCAGCAGAACCAACCAGTATCAAGTGCTGAACATGCTCCGGATGCTAGAATAGCAACAAATTAACATTGACGGTGATTGACCAGTGAAGCAATTTCATTGGCTCAAAAATTAAATTAGGAAAAGCAAGTTACCTGAAGTGCATATTTTGCAGCAACATAGCCTCCAAATGAATGACCAAGTAAAATAAAATTGGTCAGATTTTTGGCTTTGCGCCACTCCTCAAAAGAATCAATGAACCATGCCTCAGTTTCTGTATTGCAAGACAATGCAAATGAAAGAAATGACAATACACAATAAATAAACATTATTGAGTTTAATAATGTTAGCACATAGCAGCCATTTGGTGACTACTTTTTCATTTTATCTCCCTTAAAGTCCATGCACTGAATTGGTTATTATTTATTAATGGACAAATACGCCCGATTTACTTTTTGGCAGAATTTACTGATGTAAATCAATTTAACCTTCTTCCATGTTTTTCTTAATTTCATCCAGATATTGTTCCATAAAGAATAATAAACAGCAATTTAAGCTGAACTTATTACCCTTACCAAACGGACTCTTCTACATTAACCAACCAAAAAGTAACTTGTTTCACAAAAAGTGAGTAAAATCTAGTATGAAGAATGCATCTAACCTTCAGTACTTTTGCATGTGAAGTCAGGCCTGCTAGATCCACCCCACCTGCACCAAGTAGATATTCAATGGCATGTTTGGGAATATTTTATTCCATAATAATCGAAATGCAAAACAATCCTTTTCGATTAGTACAACTGAAATAACAAAGTAGGACATTTAACTGCAAATATTCATAAAATCGGAGTGACATTAGACTCACCCAAGCTGATCAATGGCTATGACTCGGAAGTGTTTGGCAAGAGATTCAAAATTGCGAAAGAAGAAACCTTGAGAAGCACCATATCCATGAACCATAACAAGAGTTGGAGATCCCTCTTTGCTGTCAAAAGTGACCGAGTTTATGAACCTAGGTTCACTGCTTGTTGATCTAAACCATCTAGTTTTGGACCCTGGCGGACCAGAACCTATATTAACTTGCTCTTGAGTATATGGAGTCCTGATTATAAACAATTTCCACAATCCAAACGAGACACATAACATCAAATACTGAGATATTTGCAACGTTCACAAAAAGCTCAAGAGGTATAAAAAGCAGAAATATCTAAAAAGAGATCAACACAAAGAATTTCGCAGCTAGTAAGCTCTTTATTCAGTTCATTTATTTGGGGGGTAAACTGAAATGGAGAATGCGTTGAATTGCAAGAAAAATTCGCCAATCTTAAAATTGGGGGGTTTTAGGATTGTTACTTGACAAGAGAAAGTAGGCGTTTTTCTGCGGCGATGATCTGGTCCGTGGAAGTAGGGATCCACCGGAGAAGGGACGGCCATAGCGATCTCTTATTTGTTCCGGAGCCGGCAACTGTGGCAGCTGCAGGCGATGAATTAATCTCTTCCGCCATCTTAACCACCGGTTTCCAGCACCTCCTCAGCCCTATGCTCATACAATTACCCTCAAATCTAAGAAACAAAAAGGACGGTGGATGAATTCAAGTTGCAGAATCAAAGTAAATGACTTTCTTCTTCTTCTTCTTCTGCTTTTGCAAAATTAAATAATAATCGAATTCGCTTCAAAGCTCTCACGCCCCTTTCTCGTCTCCGTCCCCTATATATTTGGGTCCGCGTAGAGCGTTTACCCCTGACGAATCGATCCTACCGCCTTCGCAGAATCTACTTCTTCATCTTTTATTCATTTATTTAATTTCTAGTCTTTCTGATGACGAAATGGAAGAAGTCGCCCACGTAAGCGATTACCACTGAGCCGCCGCTGTGGAAAATTATTCGTCTCTGGCGACGGTTTGGGACGACGTGTGCAACGGAAATGGGATTTTCAAAGCAAATTCCAGTGTACCATATTTTGTCGAAGTTAAACACTTTAAAAAACACATTTTTGTTAAAGTGTTAAATTATTTTTGAGAATTGTGATATATTTTTTTAACAATCAACGTAAAAATTGAAAAGTTGTCACTTTAAAAAATAGATGTTCTTTAAAGTGTTACGTAGTATTTATTTATCTATTTATATAAAAAATATTGGTGTCATGTGAAAGATAATAAAAATTTATAACTTTGATATTTTTTAACAATGAAAGTACAAATGAAAAAGTTGCAACACTTTAAAAAACAGATGTTTTTATAAATACTACTTGCATTGTAATAATCTTGGAAAATAACAATTTGTTATTTTCTTTTCATTCTTGAAGAAAATGTCACGATGTTTAAATAATGTCAAAATAATCAAATGTTATATCACTTTATTGGTAAAAATATGAAACTTCACATATGAGCATTTTTACAACATTATATTTCTTTATTATCTAATTATTAGTGTATGACATTTCAAATAGGTAAATTTGAACTTCAATATGGTAAATAACAATAGATAATTGAGCGTAATAATTTTATGTCTAATATATACTGCTTTTAAGTATACTAGATAAACGAACTAATAATTGTGCGAAGACATTTCCTCTCCTAGGTAGTGCTTTTTGGTATAAGATAAGCGAACTAATAAACAAGTAGCCAAGCGGAATAATTTTCTCTCTCATACGTAGTGTTTTTATGTATAAAATAAAATAAAGAAGAAGATAAATGAACTAATAATTGAGCGTAATAATTTTCTGTCTAATATATACTGCTTTTAAGTATACTAGATAAGCGAACTAATAATTGAGCGAAGACATTTCCTCTCATATATGTAGTGCTTTTGGATATAAGAAAAGATAAACAAATTAATAATTGAACGAGCAAATATTGTCTCTCATATATAATGCTTTTAGGTATTAAATAAGAGAATTAATAATTAAACAGGAGAATTTTCTCTCTCATATGTGGTACTCTTATGTACTACCTTCGTCCCAAAAAACTTTGCCATTTTCAAAACTTTGACCGACTATATCTTTTTATTGAAAATCTTTTATTATACAAAAGCAAAATAAAAACTGCACAGTGTTCCCGCCCAAACAATGTACAGTAATGGGTCGGGCCTGTTAAAGTGGGTCTAAAATCAGGTCATGCTAAATCTGTGTGTTGCTGCTCGGTAATTGTAAATGTGGCCCAATGACCAATGCAGTTTATTAGCTCAAGAAATTACTTTATTGGCTCAATGAAATAATGTTGAATAGAGGCTGCAATTATAATAAAAAATGGGGAGCATTGTACTCGAAATTCCACAGGCCACACATTTAGTCTTTTTACCTTTCTTGAGCCACACAACATTAAATACAATGTACTAGCTCTAATAGTAAATGGCAACTTTACATTGAATAGAGTGCTGTAATTCTAAAAAAATGGGGGCATTGTACTCGAAATTCCACATGCCACACATTTAGTCTTTTTGCCTTTCTTGAGCCACACAACATTAAATACAATGTACTAGCTCTAATAGTAAATGACAAATTCACATTGAATTGTGTGTGCCTTGACCAATGGTTATTACACAATTTGTTCTACACTACTTCCTTTCCCAATATAAATACCCATTGCAGGCTTCAGAAACCACACCACAACCAAGCTAATCTCTTTTACATTCTCTGTATTTTCAAGTTTCCTAAGTAATTTGTGAGCTATGACAGGTTCCTCAACACAAAGAGGCATGTGGTCCCTGATCAAGGATGTTGATCATACCAAAACCACTTGGGCCTTAAGGGTACGGGTGGTCAGGGCATACGAAGTCCCACCTCACTCAAAGGGGGGGGGGGGGGGGGCGACACTCGAGATGGTGTTGCATGATGAGCAGGTAGAAAAACATTCACAGATTATAATTTTGATATCATTTTGATTTTGATTTTGATATCAAAAACATATAATATCATATTATTATTATTATTATTATTATTATTCAAACTGCCCACATTTTGATATTTAGGGAGACCGCATTCACGCTATCATAAAAAGGCCACAGTCGGAGGTTTACAAGACCATGATCAAGGAAAACAAAATTTACGCTCTACGGACGTTTTTGGTCCTGGACAACTACCAAACTGTCAAAACAAGTGATCATCCTTATCTGATTCAATTCATCAGCAAAACTCAGTTCACCGAAGACACGAGGACAGAATTGCCAATGATGGTGTACGACTTTCAGCCATTTGACATGCTTCAGGCTCAACGCATCGTCAACGACAAAAAATTGATTGGTGAGAACAACAAAAAACTTTTATGTTTTAATTTGCAGAAATACATATCTTATGCTGGAATTTGGTTATAGATGTCATAGGGAAAGTCATATGTAAGAGCGGCGTTCAAAACCATATCATTAGCGGAAGAAGCGAAAGGATGAATAATTTTTTTGTTAAATAACTTTTATAAATTGCAGAGGGAACAGACTTGGATGTGTGTTGTGGAACAAGTACATAGACCAGTATATGGAGTATGTGACTAAGAATGTTGGTGTGCCTGTGTATGTAATTTTTCAGCTATGCAGGCCAAAGAGATACCAAGGTTATCCCTTTTGTAGGGATGTTTAGGACTCCTGCTATTAAGACAAAACAATATGATTCTAAAAAAAAATTAATTACTCACAGGCACCCTGTCCGTATCATCTTCATTTGATGTGTCAAAACTGATCATCAATGGAAACTCTAGCGAGTTTATTGAATTTCAAAGCGAGTAAGATTTTTTTAAAAAGTAGGCATTGTTATGAAGGCTTATAAAAAGTATACTCATAATGAATTGAACACTGTGATACAGATTTCCTTCAGATGGTGATGACAGCGTCACAACCATAGCCGTCTCACAATCTTCCCACGGTGATGGGAGCCGTGAAGATGTCCTTGCGAGCAAGGCTGTCATAACGACTATTCAGGAATTGGTTAAGGCTACAGAGGTGTGTACAAGATGACATATTCTTTTAGGTGACGAAATTTTCAACGCTTATGTCAAATATTGTGTTTACAAACAGGATGAGGTTTATTGGATCATCGGAGACATTGTGTCTCTTGAAAACTATAGAGAATGATGTTACCTAGGCTGCCCCACATGCCACAAAAAACTAAAACCAGAGGATGATAGGTTCATGTGTACCATTTGCCATGTCACAATGGCAGATGGGGTGTATCGGTAAGAGAATTGCTATTGTATGTAGCTATGATTTGTATGAATCGAGTCCACTGAAAATATTTGGCATTCATTTTAGGTACAAAGTCAGCATTTGCATCATGGACCAGACTGGTCATTTAACCTTCATTATGTGGGACAGAGAATGTATTGAAGTTTTTGGAAAAACATTTGCTTATCTAATGGCTGAGATGGAGAAGGCAAAAGCTTGATTTCAATATAAATTTTAAATTTTAAATTATCAAAATAAAAAACTTTATGACTAATGTAAAAGGTCTGAATAAAACAGTAGACTGAAGACCAAACTCGATTTCCAGAAGACATAGAAAGTTTGGTTGACCAAAAGGGCCTGTTTAAAATTCAACCAAAGACAAAAAGTGAGGAGAATACTTACAAGATAACAAAGTCATTTACTGTGGTGACCATGATACGAGACCCTAAGGTTCTGGCATTGTATGAAACGGATAAGGAACAGCAATTGGTTCATGACACTCCAACTGAGAAGGTATTTTCATTGGTTTTGGAGTTTATAGAAATTTACTTATGGGTGCTTCGTAGTAAAAGTATATGTTTCGTGTAATAGAAAATAATGAACAATACCTTAAATTTAGATTGGGTCAAGTCTCCACAATGGTGAAAGTTCTACAGCGAGGAAAAAAGGGAAAGATGTCCAAAAACAAGAGGTATACCGACTGTAATACTCTTATATAAGTAGGGTTATATATTAAACAAATATTCTTACATTTTTCTTAAAAAGGTTGTCGAGGCAATTGACCTCCCAGACTCACCCCCACTGGGTACGCAGAAGGAGGTGGTGGTGGAAATGGATGGAAAACTCAAAAGGAATCTGATAGATGAATTCTCTACAAGTGGTGCCGTGAAGAAGCTGAAGATAAAAATCAAAGAAGAACCATTCTGAAGAACAAGGGCCGGTCTGTTGGTCGGGGCTTATATTTTGTGCTGAAATCCTTGGACTTATATATTTTGTTTTGGGTTGTAGCCTTAAACACTATTTTGGGCATTATTGTGTCTTACTTTCGGCAGTGTGGAGAAACTAAGCAATGACACTATAATTCTCCTATCGGAACTAAGTACTATTTTGAAAGATTGTATTATCTATATGATGATGTCATATGTATATTTTGCAGGACACAGGCAACACTTCAGCAGTTTGTGAGAATAGATTTAAAAAATAATACTTCAATGTTTATAAATCACTGTCTGCAGGTCCTATGAATTTAATTTTCAGGTGATGGGAGAACATTAGGATGAGTTGAGGCTAAGGTCAAGGACAATGGACCTTCTAAAGTCCACTGAGGGAATCTAGGAGACACTAAGCATGACCTTTATATTAAGTTGAAAATGTTAATATTATTATTGTTGTAAAGCAATGATTTTAATGGAAAAGTGATATTGGTTTTGCACTTAATGCGTTAGAATATTTCATATGAATACACATGTATGAGTTACAACTGTCAAGAAAGAATAGAAATAAAATGACAAGTGAGTTGTTGAATGGAGTGCGTACCTGAAACAGCCTTAGAACACCACCTGCATTTCCTATTTGGACTAATTAATATTACAGACCCCTTAAATATAGTACATTATTGGCAACCCTCTAAGGTCCCTGAACTATCCCTAAACATTTTTCTAAGTCAGAAATCTAAACCAAAGCATCCACATGAATCAAGAATTGTGCATTATCTGCAAACAACATAAGTTAGGGAATAAGATCACAAACATTTTAAGTAATTAATGACTTAGATGTTATCTTACACTTAAAAAAAGTTTCTGAATTATTGATCAAAACAGGTTTGTTTCAGCAAAGGGATATAATGGTTGAAACTCAAGGAGGGTACTTGAAAAGAATAAATGAGCTAAATCCAGCTTATCTGGGATTGCAATATCCACTTTTGTTTCCGTATGGTGAGGATGGGTACAGGGAGGATATAGCCTTTTCTGAGGACAAAGTGTCAAACATTGGCGGTCGATGAAGTGTTAGCATTAGAGAGCTCCTTTCTTACAGATTGCATGAACGAGCAAAGGAGGACTCTTTTATCCTTAAGAGTAGAAGACTGTTCCAACAGTTCACGGTAGATGGATACACAATGGTTGAGTCATCAAGGCTAATGTATATTAGAACTCATCAAAAAGAACTGAGGTGTGAAATGTACAAAGGACTATCAAATGCTTTGTTGAGCGGTGAGAGTGATGCGTCAACACAGGGCAAGCGTGTTGTCCTTCCACCTACATTTGTTGGGGGTGCTCGATACATGGTTCAAAATTATCAAGATGCCATGGCTATATGTCGATGGGCAGGATACCCAGATCTATTTTTGACGTTCACATGTAACCCGAGATGGCCAGAGATTAATACATTCCTTTCTTCAAAGAATTTGAATCCCGAAGATCGTTCAGATATATTTTGTCGAGTGTTTAAGATGAAGTTGGATGGCTTAATCAAGTATCTAAGACAAGGTAAGATATTTGGAGAAATTCGAGCAGGTATGTTAAATATCATGTTTATACATTTTTATAGATTACACATTTACATGTATGCGTATGTGTGTGTGTGAAAAAATTGTTACATTCACTTCTTGCAGTCATTTACACGGTTGAATTCCAGAAGCGTGGCTTACCTCATGCTCATATTTTATTATTCATGGGGAACGCAGACAAATATCCCACGCCAGCAGACATTGACCACATTATATCAGCTGAAATTCCTGACGAGAAGGGTGATCCTGACTATTTCAAAGCAGTGTGCACACATATGATGCACGGACCGTGTGGCACTGATGCAAAGAAAGCCCCTTGCATGGTTCAGTCTAAGTGTTCGGAGCACTTCCCAAAGAATTTCAATGAGGAAACTAATGTTGATAAAGAGGGTTATCCTAAATATAGGAGGCGAAATGATGGAAGAACAATTGTCAAAGGTGGCGTTCCACTAGACAATAGATATGTTGTCCCCCACAACCGATCGTTATTAATGAGGTACGGTGCTCATCTAAATGTCGAGTGGTGCAACCAATCCAGGTCTATAAAGTATATATTCAAATACGTCAACAAGGGACATGATCGTGTCACAACTGGATTTTATGAAACAACTGGTAAAGATCACACTGACAAACTTGTTGATGAAATAAAACTGTACTATGATTGTCGGTATATTTCTCCATGTGAGGCAATGTGGAGAATTTATGGATTTCAAATTCAGTATAAGAATCCACCTGTTGAACGATTGAGATCTCACTTCCACAATGAACAATATGTGTATTTTGAAGATGGTGCACCAGTTAATGACGTCGTGTTGCGTGAATCTGTTAAGGAGAGTATGTTTCTTGCATGGATGAAAGCAAATGCTAAGTACCCCGAGGCAAGGGATCTAACTTATGTGGAATTCCCACAAAAGTTTGTCTGGAAAGCAAAAACAAGAGAATTTGTACCTCGACAAAAAGGGTTTGCAATAGGCCATCTAATGTATGTGCCACCGGGTTCAGGAGTGTCTTATTATTTGCGGTGTGTGCTTAATTTGAGACGTGGGGCTACAAGCTATGATGATCTGAGAACTGTGGATGGAATTATTCATAATACATACCGCGAGACATGTTTCGCTTTAGGGTTGTTGGACGATGATAAGGAGTACGTTGAAGGGTTTTCAGAAGGTAGTTATTGGGCTACTGCATGGTTACTTAGAAAGTTGTTTGTGATCTTATTGGCAACAGATACAATGAGTAGACCAGAATATGTGTGTGACAAGTGTTGTACATTTATGTCACATGACATTCTACAGAGGCAAAGAAGAGCGTTAATGCATCTAGGTACTAAACAATTTTAATTTCACACATACATTACCTATACACAAGTATGCATGTGTGTGTGACTGTGTGTGTATATATATATACACATGTGTGTGTGCATGTATATTCAAAACCATACATTATATATTACACATGTTATTTGATAATGGTCTTTTCATACGTGTAATATCAGATTTGAAGTTGACCGAGGATGAGATTAAGAATTATGCATTGACTGAAATAGAAATGATGTTGAGAAGGATTGGTAGGACTTTAAAGGACTATCCATCAATGCCATTTCCCATGATAAGTGATACTGCCATGTATCAAAACAGACTGATTTTTGATGAATTGTAATACGACCGTGCTGCCCTACGTGAATAGCATGACAGATGCATACAGAGTCTTAATGATGAACAACGTGAGGTGTACACAACCATTATGCAATCTATTGAAAAAAATAGTGGTGGGGTGTTCTTTGTATATGGTTATGGAGGTACAGGGAAAACTTTTGTGTGGAAGACGTTGTCAGCTGCTTTGAGGTCCAAAGGAGAAATTGTTTTGAATGTTGCTTCAAGTGGCATAGCAACTTTATTGTTACGGGTGGTAGGACGGCTCATTCACGCTTTGCAATACCAATCAGCCCTAATGAAAACTCAATGTGCAACATCAAACAGGGTAGTGCACTTGCTCAATTGATAATTCGTTGCAAACTGATTATATGGGATGAGGCGCCGATGATGCACAATTATTGCTTCGAGGCCTTAGATAGAAGTTTGCGGGACATCTTGAGATTCACTAATTCAAATAGTGATGAAAAACCATTTGGAGGGAAAACTGTGGTATCCGGGGGAGATTTCAGACAAATTTTACATGTCGTTACAAAAGGTACTAGACAAGACATTGTGAATGCCACGATTAATTCTTCCAATATTTGGCAACAGTGCTTGGTATTACGTTTGACGAAGAACATGAGGTTGCAATCATTGACTGATGATCGTGAATACGAAGATTTGTTTGAGTTTGCAAAGTGGATTGCGAGTTTAGGGGATGAGAATGCGGGGGAAGATAATGATGGTTTTGCCGATGTTCAAATTCGAAAAGTTTTTGTTAGAGTGTGGAAGCGACCCCATTGCCACTATTGTCCAGAGCACCTACCCAAACTTTGAGAATATTGTCAATGACCCTACTTACTTGCAACACCGCGCAATCCTGGCTCCAACCCTCGATATTGTAGATGCAATCAATGAATACATGACTTCTCTGAATGTTAATGAAGAGTCAAGAACCTATCTGAGTTCAGATAGCATTTGCAAGTCAGACTCCAATGCTGATTTTATGGCTGATTTACATACTCCAGAATTTCTGAACAAAATAAGAGCGTCTAGAGTTCCAAACCATGAGTTAACCCTCAAGGTTGGTACTCCAATAATGCTTTTAAGGAATATTGATCCTTCGATGGGGCTTTGCAATGGAACAAGGTTAATTGTTACACGACTTGGAAATCACATCCTAGGGGCAAAAATCATGGGCGGGAAATATGCGGGACATGAAGTTGTCATTCCGAGGTTGAGCTTAACTCCTTCGGATTCAAGAATACCGTTCAAGTTTCAGTGAAGACAATTTCCCGTCATGACCTCTTATGCGATGACTATAAATAAGAGTCAGGGACAATCTTTGACTCATGTTGGACTATTATTGAAAAAGTCGGTGTTTACACATGGTCAACTATATGTTGCAGTGTCAAGGGTAACAAATTCTAAGGGTTTGAAGATATTAATATGCGATGAAGATGGCCAACCAACGTACCATACCACAAATGTTGTTTATAAAGAAGTTTTTCGCAATGTGTAAACTGTGAAAATCTATCTAACATTTCCTTTTATCAACTTATTCCAACACATACTTACTATCTATCTCTGAGTTTTCAATATTTAATTAAAAGTTCTAATGCATGTTACGAGTAACACAATTTCCAAACATTTCACACGCGTACATTGTTTACAAATAATATCATATGACTATTACATTCTTATATCCCGCGCATCGCGCGGGTGAGAATCTAGTTATTTATAATATAAAAATTATATGAAAACGTTCTTTGTTAAAAGTACTTTCATAAAAGTATAAAATTTATAATTTCCATAATATTATACTAATCAAAATCAATGTTCAAATTTTTTGAAATGGAAAAGTTTTTTTGGGACGGAGGTAGTATAAAGTAAGCGGGCGAATAATTGAGCGGGAGAATTCTCTCTC